GATCAAGTTATCTCACAATGCTTTTGAGAAATGCAGCCCTGGTCATTTTAACCCAGGGCTGGGTGATATGGCCAAAAAATTATCTCAATAAAATTTTTCATATCAGTCGATATCGATAATTATCACAATGCATTTAAAATCGTTATTTTTTTTTTCCAAGTTAAAAGGCAGATTTTTGCTCCTAATGCCGAGTTCACACTGCACGATTTTCAAAGACGTCGCATCACTGTTGGTTTCACACTGAACGACTATCTGGTGTAGCATTCAGTTGTTGCTGTGTTCACACTGCACGATGGAACGACGACAGGAGGTTACACACTGCATGACTTCACAATAGGAAGAATCGCCGACAGCTCTGTCTGGTGCAGGGTTGCCAGGTTTTCGCTACAAAACCCGCCCACTGAACAAAATTAAACCTGATCAACTCTATGCGATCCACAAACTACACCTGATCAACTCTATGCGAAGGAGATGTGTTGCACTGCGTGAGGTCTCTTATTAGTCAGAACATGACAAGCACTTCACATTTTTTTGAATGTTTTACACTTTTCTAGTCATTTTACTTAAAATAAATATCTAAAATAAATAGATATAAATATAGAAAATAAATAAATAAATCAAAAATTGTAACAACCTCATTTATACATGGTGAAATACAGAGTTCTGGCATGAAACTCTAGATGGCGCAGTCAGATAGGTCTAACTCAATCTGACCTAATGACAAAGACCAAATACATTAACATTGTCATGTACATTGCCAATCCCTCCGAGAGTTGTCATGACAGAAATTTAATTATTCGGACTTTTTGAGTTTTATTAACATTAACCATTGGTCTTCCACAGTAGTATACATTTAGATCATAATAACCACAGTTAAAAGCACACATATAGCACTTCAATACTATGGTAAAAATATGGTTTCTGGTATTTGTATGAAAAACAGTAGTCTAAATACATTTATGCACTAATCACAAAAAAATACTGCAATTATATTCCATTACTCCTTTATTTAATACGTTTACATTAATATGCTTTAATTCATCTTGCTTTAAAATAGTTGAAATGAATTCAAGAATTCCAAGCACTTCACACTGGATCTCACAGCACTGTTTAGTGATCGCGTCACCGAGACTTATCAGCGAGTAAAGTCAACATACCTTCTGTCCTCCAATTGATTGGATTTTGTCTCATAATTTGCTATTTTACTGTTAATGATAGTAGCTTTTAATATAATGTAAAATAGTTATGATTACCAATTTTATACATAGAAATCACAAAAATAAATAAATTTAATAGAAATAGCAGTATTGGTATTGGAAGTATTGGTCTTAAATTGGTCTTAGAACTGTATTAAAATGAAAATAAGTGCTGTCACCCATTACTCACCCAAGGATACCATGGAAATTACACAAACAGAACGTCATCCATCTGTGAAATAATTTCTCAAAATATTAGCTCAGACAACTTCATAGCTCAACTGAACATTTCAATTCTGAATAATGATGTAAGTGCTTTAAAAAACTCAAACGCCTCACATTCTGCATTTAAATCCTAGGAAAGCTTGCTTTCATTATGAGCATGCAGCTGTATTCACAATTGTTCAGAATTTGTTCAGCCTGCAGACTGGACCACACCAGAGACAGCTGCATCACAAAACACCAGTGAATCATGGCACTTTTTATTTGAATCAAAACCATACATGACTAAATCACAGAGTCCACATCTCAAGTGTACGTCATGATTATTACACCACATTGAATGAGTTCATTTCATTTTTGTTCTCTGGAAAAACTTATTTAAAGGGGACATCGGATAAAATTGTTTTTGGACAATCGTTTTTGTCCAAATCGGACAAATGTTTTGCATTAAGTTAGGTTTCTGGTGTGTCTGCAAGCTCAGAAACGCTGAAAAGAAAACACGCAGCCAGTTTGTTATAGGCTGTCTGAGTCTGAAACTCTGTCATCCAGTGAGCTGTTTCAATTTATTTTCAGCCGGTTTCTATGTAGATAGCTAGCTATTTGAGTAAGACCACCTCCGAGCCTTATACAGATATATTCCCCTGTCTTGTGTGGACACGCCCCACGGAAGAGAAGGGCGGGGTGAGCAGTAGCTCATTATCATTTAAAGAGACATGCACCGAAACGAATCGCTATGAACAGAGCTAGTTTTGACAAGGTAAAAAGGGTGTTGTTTTACACGACCATTGAGGAATTTTAACCAAAGTATGTTACAGAAATTTCATGAAGACCCTAAAGTATCACACTAACTTGTGGAAAATGGGCATCCGATGTCCCCTTTAAGAAGTCTGTGCATAAAGCAAGAATCCGCAAGAAGCGCTGCAGAATTTCAAGTACCCGTAAATGACACGTGAATTTAATTGTAGCATTGATAATCAAATAATCAGTGTTTATATCTAGGGATGCGCCGATCCGATATTCATATCGGGTATCGGCTCCGATAGTGCAATTTTTCTCGGATCGGGTATCGGTCAGAGAGGGCCGATCCAAATCCGAGATTTTATTTTATTTTTTCCCCCGATTGTGCGAATTATTCTGTGTTACTTCTGAAGCCATACGATAGCTTAATGTGAGCTACATATGAATATTCTATGATTTTACTTTATCTTCTTGCCGGAGTTTAATGTTGTTTTGTTACTTGCTACCGGGTGTCTGTGAGGTCTGTGAGA